AGAATTGTGTACCCAGCCCCAGCCAAAGGGAGGCTCCCCCTCCTCCTCCTCCTCCTCCCCAGGGTGGCTCTTGCTGCATCATCTGTCCCCTCGAGACCCCGCTGCTGCAATGCAGTCTGCTCCGCCGCCTCGGGAAGCTGGTTGTGCAGGTGCTGCCGTTTGGGATGCTGGAGACCAGCCAGGACCCCGTTCCCTCCGTGGACTGCACCGGCATCTCATAGCTCTCTGCACTTGCCCTTTGTGGCATAAAACATCATCTTTTCCTTCTGTGTTCCAACCCGTCTGGAGGTTGAACCTGGTCCTTGAAGGGATGCTAGAGGGGGAGCCAGTGGTGAGCCCGCTGGGGTGCAGCCCCCGCCATTTAGGCTGCTGGTTCCTCCGTCTGGGATGGCTGAATTTGCTGTTCCCAGGAAGAGCTGAGGGCATGGGAGGCTTCTCCTGCAGAGTTGGCCCTGCCTAGGGTCTTGGGCAAGCAGGGCAGGGTGGAAGGGGTTGGAAGGGGACGAGCTCAGCCAGAGAGAGGCGCAGCTGGCCCAGAGCTTGGGTTTAAGCTTGGGACTTTAGACGTGGCTGCGTTATCTGGGAGCAGGAGTGCACAGAGGGAGGGCTCTGGGTTCGTGCTGCACGTTGACCTGAAGGAGAACTGTTTTGTCCTTGTGCGCAGGAGGAGGAAGCAAACAGCTCTGATCCAGCCCCACCTCTGCTCCGAGCTCCAGGAAACGACCCCGAGCCGGGGGACAAAGGGCACCAGGCAGGGCTGGGATTCCTTCTGCTGCGGCATGGCTTTCCCGGGAGCTCCGGGAGGGCTGCGGTGAGGGAGAGCTGCTCCCTGCAAGCCCAGAGCTTGCTGTGGCCTGTGGAGCTGTTGCTGCTCTGTGCTTTGCTTTCTGAAAATCGAACCTGCTTGGAAAACATTATTACAACTTTCTGCCCCAGAGCAGGGTGGCTGTGGTGTGCGTTGGACCCGTTCCCCCCATCGGGGTTTCAGGCATCCCCGGGCATGAGACCGAGAGCTGGTGCTGAGAGCCGGGCTCTGTGGCCTCTCCGCTTCCCAGGTAAGCGGGGCAGGAGCTGGAGCTGGAGCTGGGACATGGTGCCCCACAAAGCCTGCTGGTCAGATCAAACTCCTCGCCTCTGCCAGAGGTTGGGGGGAGTCAGGAGCTGCTGCTGAGCTCGGAACCCGGCAGCGAGCTGTCCCGGCACCGGCTCGCCACGACCCGCCTTGGCTCCGGCACGGAGCTACCGCACGCTGGCCGGGCCAGGCTTCTGGCCCTGAAGCCTGTAGCCAGGTAAAAGCACCACCCTACACCACAGCCTGCTTTTCTGTGCTTGATGGTGCCTGGTGCGGGATAACACGGTTATCCCAGTGTGGTGTGCCCATGGTGGCGAGCCAAAAGGAGAGGAGAGAGATGGGAACAGAAGGAGAAATAGAGGTGGGCTGGAGTGACACCAAAGGGGGAAAGAATTGACCCTGGGAACGGCAAGAAGGCAGAGCAGGGTGTCAGCTCCTCTGGAGAGTTACAGACAAGCTGCAGACGTACAGCGTTGTCGAGGTTGGGCGCAGAGGCGGTGTGCAAGGCACACCGGGTCGGCAGGGTTGCAAGGCAGTTTCTCGGACCCTTCCTGAAGTGTTTTTGGGTGGAAGCCAGCGCACTTGGAGAAATCATTTGTCAGTGCCAGAGGAACAATTGCCTGGAGAGCAATGACTGGATTGATGGTTGTCCCCTTCCTGGAAGCAAGGTCCTGACCGTGCCAGCCCAGGAAACGCATGGTACCCCAGCGTACTGGGTGGCCTTGGCCTCACGCTGTCTTCTGCTTTCTTCCAGCCACTCCCACTCTCCCGGCTCCATGGCTGCTGTCCGCGAGTGGTCCTGCACCCGCTGCACCTTTCTGAACCCCGTCGGCCAGCGGCAGTGCTCCATATGCGAAGCCCCCCGCCAGAAGCCCGACCTCAACCACATCCTGCGGCTCAGCGTGGAGGAACAGAAATGGGCTTGTGCCCGCTGCACCTTCAGGAACTTTCTGGGCAAGGAAACCTGCGAGGTATGTGGCTTCACCCCGGAGCCAGGGCCCAGCAGCTCCCCCTTGCCCGTCATCAACGGCATCTTGCCCAAGCCTGCCGTGCTTGTGGAGCCCAAGGGCACGTCCAAGGAGGAGACTGCCAAGGCAGAAAGCAGCAGCGAGGACTCGGAGGGGAAGAGCCCCGATGAAGCGGAGCTGGAGAGCGGCTGGGCTTGCCAGCGCTGCACCCTGCACAACACGCCAGTGGCCAACTCCTGCTCTGCCTGTGGGGGCCCACGCAAGCTCTCCCTGCCCAAGATCCCACCAGAGGCGCTGGTCGTCCCTGAAGTCATCACCCCTGCCGGATTTCACATGGCCCCCTCTACCCCGCAGCCTTTAGTCTCTGCAGAGATCTCTGATGGTGACGCCGTGGCCACCCAGGGCCCAGTCGCTATGGAACAAGAGGCCCAGAAGATACCAGCCTTCAGTCCCTTCTCCCCGGGGCTCCAGAACAACCCTGTGCCCCGAAGCCGCCGGGAGGTGCCCCCCCAGCTGCAGATGCCGGGCCCCGAAGCCGCCCAGCCCGTGGCTCAGAGCGCGGCGGGACAGAAGGGCTCTCCGCAGGGTCAGGCCAGGGCTGCCCCTGCTGCCCGCTTCCAGGAGCTGCTGTCCAACAAGCGGCTGAGCGTGCTGGAGGAGGAGATGGAGGTCAGTCCATCCCACTGGAAGTGCAGCTCCTGCTCCCTGCTTAACTCCGCCGGGGCTGGCAAATGCGACGCTTGCGGCACCCAGAAAGGCAGTGACACCATCAATGTGGTGGGGGACTCGGTGAGATTCACTCCGTGCAGCCCCTCCAGCCCTGACTTCACCACCTGGTCCTGTTCCAAGTGCACCCTGAAGAACCCCACCCTGGCGCAGAAGTGCAAAGCCTGCGGTTCCTCCAAGCTGCACGGCTTCCAGGAACACGGGACGCAGGGCGAGCCGTCCCCCCGCTGCCCCGACTGCGGGGCTTGTGACAAGGGCGGCTGCTCCTCCTGCGGCGCCAGGGCCCCGTCACTGCGTGGCCTGCCATACCGCGCAGCAGTACGTGGCCCAGCGCAAGGGCCTCAAGCCCCTGAAGAGACGGGAGAGCATGCACGTGGAGAAGAGGCGGCAGACAGACGAGGGAGAGGCCAAAGCCCTGTGGGAAAACATCGTGACCTTCTGCCGGGAGGTGAGTGCTTGCTGAGCTAGTCTTGCTCCTGGTTTCACTTGGAGAGGGCCCTCTTGGTGCTTTCTCTGTGGCTCTAGGGCATCGCCTGGCACAGGCACGCTGCCTTCTGTGCCTGGGGTCCCAGAGATCTTCACCCGCAACAGCTGGATACTGGTTGTTAACACTGAAATGTAGTGTTTTAAATTGGTGCAAGATAATCTCTAGGATGGTGACCCGTCCAGCTCACTCCCAGTCCAAGGGTGAGGAAGTCTGAGTGTTGACTCTGAAACCTAGTGATGCTTTAAATCAGCGAGAGAGAACGTCTGGGTTGAAGGGGACATTCTCAAGTGCTCATGACAGCTCCTTCCCTGTCCGAGGGTGGGGAAGGCTGGGAAAGAACGTGTCCAGGTTTGCTGGTGGCACCGCTGTCTGCAGGCAGCAACCGTGACATGTGGGTGCGGGAAATCCGGGGATGCAGCAGGCAGAGGCTCAGAGCACCGGCAGGCGTGCAGGCGGGGGAACTGCTGCTGCTGCAGGCAACTGCAGGCGCTCAAGAACTGCGAGCTGGGCCTCGGCGTTCTTGGGTTTGGTGTTTGTGAAAGCACGGCTGCAGCTGCAAACGGCTCAGCCCTGTTTTGGGAAGGACAGCTGAGGTTTGGCTGTACCCTGGCTCCGGGTGAGGGTCTCGGCAGCACATGCTATCGCACTCCCCTCCCACTCCAAATTATCTGGCTCGATCTGTTGGCTTTCAGTCTCAAACAGCATTGTGATGACCCCGTTTTTTCCCCTGAGTGGCGTAAGATGCTCCCGTCAGTGCTGCTCTTTCTCTGCCCTCCTTCTGGGGGAAGCCTCCAGCTCTTCTGGACCAGATGGAACGGGAGTTGTGGTCCCATTTTGACGTACAGACAAGGCTTTTGCTGCCTGGTCCGAGGAGCGCGTCCATGCCTGTGCCCCTGGTGCGCAGACTGGGGACCACAGAGATGTTTGGCTCGGGAGGGAAGCTGTTGAGAACGATCCTGTTTTGGGGTTGTGGGGTTTTTTTAATTGCTACATGTCCATCCTGACAGACGTGGGTGTCTTTATAACAGAGAGACCCCGATTCTGCTTATCCCCCTGCTTAAAAGCAAGTGAATAGCCTCTTTTGTAGGCAGGGAACATCTGTTACATCCAGTGGAATCAGGCCTGAAGGATGAATTAAGAGAGGTAGCCAAGTTAAATTAGCAGCTTGCCGCTGCCGGGAAGGGGAGTCTGCCTTGCCCCGTCCAGCCCAGCTCTCGGTCGGAGCCTTGGCTGAGCCCATTCAGCTCACTAAGCCAGCAGTAACGGGCTGTTAGATGAGCGTGGGCCATCTCCTGAAAATCACCCTAAAACTAAATCCCTGCTGTGTTCTGGCACTGTTCATGGTAAGTCAGGGGCTCTGCAGGTCCGAGGGAAGGGCTGGCAGCGGCGGTGGGCCAGAGCTGCTCCCACACTCGTGCTCGCTCTGCTCTTGGTGTGCCTGCAGCCTCCCACCGATGCTCTGCTTCGGGCTGGCACGTAGGGCAGCCTCCAAGCTTCCTTCTGTCCTCAGCATTTCTCAGGCTGTTCAGCCTTCCCCTGGAGGAGAGCATCGGGCTGGCCAAGTTCTCCTCCACCCGTTGTCCCCGTGCCCCAAGTCGCACGGAGCAGCCTGCCTCGCTGCGCTGCTCCCCGCAGGGATTTCTGCTCGAGCTCCAGCCGTGGGTGCTCCCTCTCTGCTATTCCAGGGGTGCCTTTTCCAATACTTCTCAGTGCGTGGCCCCCGCTTTTAGCTTTACCCTTTCTCTTCTGTCTGGGAGGAGAGCAGAGCTGACCTCTTCCACTACCTGTCTCTGCACTGGGCATCTGCTTCCCTGCCTTGTGCTGTCCCCTTTCTTGCTTATCCCGCTGGCCCACCATTCTTCTCTCCCCTGATTAACCATCCTTGCCCCCTTTCCGAATAATAACACGCATCAGCAGGTTCTGCAGAGCTAAGAAAGACAACCCAGGACTCTTGCTGTCTGTGCCATGCTCTGGCCCCTCTGCCTGCAGAGCCTTTCCGTGTGCTGGGGGCGCCCCCATCTCTGTTTTCCTCCTTCTCCATCCATCAGACAGTTCGCCACTGGCAGCAAGGCCATGCGGGGCAGGGCAGCAGCCTTCCTCGTCGGCCCATGCGGTCCCAAGGAGGTGGCAGCAGAGAAGGTCATGTCTCTGGTCCAGAACGGCGTGAAGAGGGTTGTTGACAGAGCGGGAGGAGCGAAGGAGGTCCCGTGCCTGGATTTATCCCCTTGCAGGAGAAATACGCAGGTCTCCTCGTCTGGCACCGTGTGTGAGCAGGCTCGTCCCTGCCTGGGCACAAGAGGAGTTACCTGCTCCTCTCCCTGCTGCTCTCCTGACTCTCTTTCTCCCCATCTTTGGGGATATCGGTAGTGACACTTCTCCAAAGCATTTAGAAATATGTGAAGGAAGACATCGCGGTATGGAGGTAATGAGCTTGTTAGGCAGGCTTCCCTGACGCCGGTGGGGCGTTGCGCTGCTGTGGCTCTTGCATGGCCTCCATCCCCCATGCTGGTGAGGTCTGCGGGCTCAGGAGCATTCCGGTGAGACCCTGGCCATGACACTGGGAGAGGCCGAAGGCTTCTTCCACCTCCGCTGCTTGGAAAAGCACCGCAGCGACTCCACGGGGGCCAGAAAGCTTGTGATGCCCACGGGCTCTGACTCACGGGTGTGCACTGCCCTGCGCGGGGGGTTCCTGGGGAGCCCCAGCTGCACCCCGAGAGGCGAGTGTGCGAGGCCGGGATGTGCCAAGATGAGGTTGCTGGCCCGTACGGCAGAGGCGGCTGCTTGTCAGCCACACGGGGCAGATGCTCCCCTTGCGAAAGCCAGCAAGCCCTGGGATGTGTCCTTTTTGGCCTGCATCGGTATTTGAACGGTGACATCTATTAGCTGAAAAACACCCTTCTGCAAAAGAGGAGCTGGAAGTGCTCATTAAGGCACCACACAGAAAGCGTTCACGTAGGATTGCAACAAAAGAGGAAGAACAGCTACTGGTTTGTGTGCAGAAAAGCTAATTTAAATCGGAGCCAGCTTTTGCTGCAAGAATTTAATTTCATTTAATTAACAATAACAAAGAAATCCTGGTTCTTGCTTCACCCTGTGTTAAACTGCCTGAAGAAGCCGCCCTTCTCCCCTTGGGGAAGCCCTGTGCTTCCGTCCCGCCTCTGTGGCGGATACCCCGGGGATTATCCGCCCGTCAGCCCATCCTACTGCATTTAATGCAAGCAGCTATTGCAGGGGGGCTCGGGCGTGGGATACCCTCACTCTGGAACCGCTTGGCGGTTTGTGGTTGGGCTGGATCCAATTGCAAAAGGTGCCCCTGATGTCCTCCGCAGCTGGGCCTCGGAGGTGGCACATGCCCAGCCCGGGGTGGCACGTGCCCAGCCCAGCGTGGCCCCTCCGGAGCAGGGCCAGCTCGGTCCTTAGCGCCGGGCTCGGGTTGAGGAGTGTTTGCTTGCCAGGTGGCTCCTCGCAGCCTTGCTGCTCGCATGCTTTGCCACTTATAGAGGCAGCCAAGGTCCCCCACCGTCCACCTTTTAGCACCAGCATGAAGTGCGAGACGGTCCCTGCACGGGGAGGTTCCTGTCAAACAGAAAAAGGCAGATTTGAGTCGCAGTCTGGAGCTTGGGGCCTGGAGAGGTGAGCCGGCTCCCGGCAGGGCTGGACGCTGGATCTGATGCACAAAACGCATCTGTGCCCTTGCCAGCAGACGCCCGGTCCCAGACCTCCTCCCCGGCACGGCGTCGGAAGGGGCTGCCCGGGCCAGGCAGAAGGGCTGGGGGCTCCGCTCTCGCTCCTGGGGGTGCAGTGGGAGGCTTTCCAGGCCAGCCCCATCCCAGGAGGCCCCGGGGAGCTGTGTGCTGCACACTGATGCTCTCCTTGCCTTTCGCTCTCGCAGAACAAAGTCAATTTTGTAGATGACAGTTTCCACCCTGGGCCCAAGTCCGTGGGATTCCCGGAAGGCGACAGCGTGCAGCAGAGGGTGAAACAGTGGCTGCGACCCCACGAAATCAACTGTAGCATCTTCAAGGACCGATCGGTGAAGTGGTCGGTGTTTCGGACACCCAGGCCGTCGGATATCCTGCAGGGACTGCTGGGAAACTGCTGGTAAGGGGGAGCGAACCAGGCTGACACCCTCCTACCCCTTCCTCCTTCCCCCCCACCTTCGTCCAGCTCCAGATCAGGCCCCTCAGCCCTACTCAAACCCATTGCTACCCCGAGGCGTGTCCCCCATCCTCTGCCTCACCCCCTACCGAACGGCTGCAGCCCGCGGTCCCCTGCGCTGCGTGGCTGGGCAGCTGCCTGCCCGTGCCCCGCTGAGATCCGTCCCGCGTCCCGTCCCTCCGGCAGGTTCCTGAGTGCCCTGGCCGTGCTGGCCGAGCGGCCGGAGCTGGTGGAGAGGGTGATGATCACGAGGACGCTGTGCCCCGAGGGCGCCTACCAGGTGCGGCTGTGCAAGGACGGCACCTGGACCACGGTGCTGGTGGATGACATGCTGCCGTGCGATGAGTGCGGGTACCTCCTCTTCTCGCAGGTCAGCGGCCCTGGCGGGGAGAGGGGTGCTGGGAGGGTTTGGGCAGTGCTCCGGGGGCAGGGGGAGGCTGGTCCCCTGCTCTCCCAGGAGAGACGACTGATGGAGGTGGTGGGAAGAGATGCTGCTGTGGGTCACCCGAGGCCCCTACTCCGTGCCGCATGGGGCATTTGCAGCTCAGCACCCTGCTTTTTGCTGCGCTCTCAGGACAGCTGAACTCTTTGAGGCCATAATATAAATCTATTTAAGCCCCTTTTCGGCATTTTCCAGGCTGCGATGGAGAAGTTTCATTTGCAGCTCAGCACCCTGCTTTTTGCTGCGCTCTCAGGACAGCTGAACTCTTTGAGGCCATAATATAAATCTATTTAAGCCCCTTTTCGGCATTTTCCAGGCTGCGATGGAGAAGTTTCATTTGCAGCTGCTTTTCCATCACTCCCCCCTGCACCACAGCCACTTCACTTGCAGGGGAAGCCATCCCTAATCTTCACAGCAAAAGGAAAATATTCTAACCTGTGTGTTTTGCCCTGCGAGGGGCTGGGGGAAAGCTGTTTCCTTCCTTTGCGGAGAGGTCTGGCAGCTTGGCTTTGCCGGGGAGGGAGTGTGGAGAGGGAGGATCGCACGACAGTGCAGCCTGTTCCGAGCCAGTGCCCGGTTGCTCTGAGCACACTCGGGTGGCATCTGCTAGGATTAACGAAGCTCCCGCAGCCCCTTGGGGACGTCACTGCGCGTTATGCCCTGCCCTGCCTGCCAGGCCCAGGGGCGCTTGCTGGGATCACGGCCATGAAGGAGACTGAGAACGTCTTTATCTGCCAAACAAAACAAAGCCCGGCTCTCAGGAGGAGCCAAGGGCCCGGCACCGCTGCGTTGGACTCTGTTTTGCAAATCCCAACCCCATCTTTTAGAAGTACGCACAGCCCCAAACCACATCGTGAGTGAGCTGTGGGTATCGGGACAGGACTCTGGCTGGGGAAACGGGGCCCAAAGATGAGTATTTGGGGACCTTTAATGTCAGTACAGCTTGCACAGTCCCCAGCCTGCATGGGCTCGGTAGCCTGAGCCCTCCGCAGCGTGGAGGTGGCCCGATCCTGGGGCAACTGTTAATTGCATGGGTGCTAATGGGCCAAAACGGGCGCAGTCACGGGGTGCCAAAGCCTGCGCTGCCTGGCTGCGATTCGGCAGAGGGTGATCCCCAGCGGGACGCTGAGTGGGGCAGAACGATTGCCAGCACCGCTGGAAGTTGGTCCTGTTAAGGAGAAACTTTGGAGGGGGGAGGAAGAAGGAGTCCGTGTCTGCATTTTGCCTCATGGTAGACAGCAAGGATCCAGTCAGACACATTATTTTCAGCGTAAGATTTGCCTGTCTTGGTTTTTTTTCTTTTCCATCCATTTTTCCTCTCTTAAAATTTCAGGTCTGCGCTTTTTTTCTTTCTTTTTTTTTTTTTTTTTTTTTTTTTGACGATTGAAGGTTTTCACACTGGCTGGGCTTGCCTTGCCTTTGTTTCCGGAGGCATCTGAATCGTGACGAGAGTTTTCTGCCGAGCATTTAGCTGTGGGAGCTGAATGTGGGAGCTAAAAATGGAAAAATGGAGACTTTCAAAAATAAAGGCAAATGGGGCTCTTATCAGAGCTCCCTGGCTGCGGCTCTGGCAGAAATAAACATGGATTTTGTTGAGCGAGGGACTCAAAAACCAGTGAAAAGCACTTGTAAGCTTGCTTTATCCATCGGAAGGAAATCTTCGCTGCCCTCCTTTCCTCTCCCAGCTCTTGGCTGCCACCTGTGAGTCGCAGACAGTCACAGTGTGCCGATGCTTTTCCCCTGCTGCCCTCCAAGCACCGGGTGCTCAACCCGATGTGGTGGGGACCCGGAGGCCAGCAGACATCTCCTTCTGCCCTCGTACGCTGCCGCCTTCGTGTCCTCACAGCAGGCAGGGGCTGGAGCGGAGCCGTCTCCCCCCCCAGCCTGAACATGCCCAGGAGTCAAGCGCGGCTGGCGACTGCGGCCACGCCGAGGGCCCGCAGCGGTGCCTGGCACGTAGCGGTGAAGGCTGCGCCCTGAGCCCGCATCGCTGTGGCCGATGGAGGCTTTGCAAACCTCTGGGTGCGTTAATGCAGCTTCTGCATTTCTTTCTGAATCCGTAATCAGCCCAGCGACGCCAAAAGCACCAGAGCAAAGCGACCCCAGGGGAGAGTTTCCCCCTGCACAACTTGCACCTTCTCGGCACAGCTTGCTGCTGTCCCTCTGCTGGAGTAGGGGACTTTGTCCGTCTGCCTGGGAGCTTTTGGAGCTCGTCCTTGAAACAACATCACTGTTCCATGGGTGAAATCGAATCGGTCCCACAGCCGTGTGTGCTCCAGGCAGCCTCCTCCGCCAGAGGTGCTTGGTTTTGGTGTGCAGCAGCGTGCGAGTGAAAGGCAGCTGTTCCAGATGTGCTCGCTGTCTTCTGCCATCATTAAACATTTTTAAATCCAGGTTGAAGCAGAGGGAAGGGACTGCTAGATTACAAGGTGGACACTCGCCGCGGCCAGCCAGCCGGCCTGGGCACCCCAGGGTGCAGCTCTGCTGGCATCTGGGCCTCTTAGGCATTCCCTCCAGGACATTTTCCCAAGGGAAATTAAACAAAACACTGAGCAGGCAGCGAGCAGGGCCACCCTTGGCCTTGGGCAGACGAGATCCCAGGGGCTTGGCCTTGCTGCTCCTGCCTCCCCATCTCCCACAGCAGCAGGAGGGCGGGCAGGGGTGGGTGAGCGGGGTTTTGCCTTGTCTGCGCACGCTGCCTTTGCTTGCCCATCTCCGGCCCCGGGGCGGCTCCTGACGTGCTTCTCCCTCTCTCCGCAGGCCCAGAGGAAGCAGTTGTGGGTCGCCCTCATTGAGAAGGCGCTGGCCAAGCTTCATGGTTCGTACTTTGCCCTCCAGGCAGGGCGTGCTATTGAAGGCCTGGCTACACTAACGGGTGCCCCCTGCGAGAGCCTGATGCTGCAGGTCAGCTCCACTAACCCTCGCGAGGAGCCCATTGACACTGACCTCATCTGGGCCAAAATGCTGAGTTCTAAGGAGGCTGGGTAAGACGAGGCAGGAGGGCGCCGTGGCAGGAGCATGGACGCTCGGAGAGGGGGGCGAGGGGGGCCGCTCTCATTTGTAAGAGGCTCAGAGGAGAGGGGATAGTGCATTACCCAGGGTGCAGCCCACCACCCTTGGCATTCACCTGGAGTGCTGCTGGAGCTCCCCCTCTAAGCTCTAAGAAATTCTTTCTCCTTTGTTTAATTTTCCTATGAAATTAAAATCCCGGTGAATTCCCTGTGCACATTTACTGCTGTCTTACGGGGGGGTTGAAGTGGCTGGCACTGTGCCTGCTTGCTTTGCGTTGAGGTTTTTTTGTATGGTTAAGTGCTTGACCCTGCACGTGTCTCCCACCCACACGTGGCACCTTTGCTGGCCATACCTGGGCATGACTATAGGCAATCTATAGGGGGCAAAGCAAAAGCAAAGGCCTCTTGCTTATCGCTCCGGCGGGAGGAGCGGGAGGGCAGTTAGGTTGGCTGAAGGCAGGGTTGCTCCTGCCAGCCTGCACTACGGGGCCACATGGGAGCCCCATAGGTCCCAGCACGTGGTGTCCTCCCAAACCTGGCTGGCGCAGACCTCCCGCCCCGAATAGCCTGTCCTCACCCCTGCGGAACGGGCCAGCTGCCTGTGGCGTGGAGGCAGACGTACCGCTTGCCTTCCCCTGCGGCTGAGCCCTGCCAGCCACCAGAGACGGGCAGGACCCCGGGGCCTGGCAGAAAACGGGTGAGGTTTGGGCAAAGCTTTCAGCCCTGCAGGTGAGGGCTCTGCTGGACAAGCTTGCCACGGAGCCCAGGCTCAAGCATGCACACAGGCGGGTGGAAGGAGCTCACTGCTACCCAGGCAGAGCTCTGGCCAGCAGGGCTGGGGCACTGCTCCGGGGAGGTTTACGGTGTTGTTGCAGAGAGGGAATCTCCAGGAGCCTCCTGGAGGGGAGCCTGTCCCATTCCTTGAGCAGTAGGGACAAGCTTCCCCCCCATGCCTGGCAGGACACCGAGGAGTTTGCTGTCCCCTGTGCAGGTTCCTCATGGGCGCATCCTGTGGTGGAGGCAACATGAAAGTGGACGATGTGGCCTACGAGAGTATGGGTCTGCGTCCACGGCACGCCTACTCCATCCTAGATGTGCGGGATGTCCAAGGCTTCAGGTGAGTTTGGAGTGGAGGCTGGCATTAGACTGGATCTAAGGAAGAAATTCTTTCCAACGAGGGTGGTGAAACCCTGGCAGGGGTTGCCCAGAGAGGGGGTGGAGGCCCCATCCCTGGGAACATCCAAGGCCAGGTTGGACTGGGCTGTGAGCAACCTGATGTGGTTCAAGGTGTCCCTGCTCCCTGCAGGGGGGTTGGGCTGGGTGACCTCTAGGGGTCCCTTCCCACCCAAAACATTCTGTGATGATTCTATGGTACAGCCCCAGCAGAAGCCCTGGGGACAGGTTATTGAGTGCATGCTCTACAAGACCTCAGGGACTCTTTGGTGTCCCATCCTCATGGCCAGCGAGGGCTGTTTCTCCGTCTCAGGGTGTCACGTAAACGCTGTTGTGGTACAACCTGTCCTTGCCTGGCACTGGCTCCATGCCCAGGGCTGCTCTGCTCCAGGATGCCCTGTGGTGCAGAATGGTTCGCCTGGTCTTCTCACAAGATGCAGAGGGATTGAGTTGAGCTCTTTCAACTCAATGAGGCAAACAGGGTGCCCTTCTCGCCTTTGGAGGGTGGGGGGACAGAAAGCCTGTGTGCTGTATGAAGCCCCATTTTCATCCATGTCACTCCTGGGCTTGTGCAGCTCCAGGGACACGCTTGGCAGCCCCTTCCCAGCTGAGCCGCTTCCCTGCAACGCCTGGCTGGAGCCCCTTTGGGCAGGGAGGGACAGAGGGAGCTGCAGCAGATCCAGAGCTGCAGGACATGGGCATCTGGGGCCCCGGTGGGGGTGGCAAATTAGGTCTGGGATGCTGTGAGGGCTTTGAAAGGCGGGGGGGGAAGTGGCATGGTGCCCTCTGCAGGGGGCTGGCTGGGCTGTAGAGCATCTCAGAGGTGATCTTCCTTTCTCCTGGGCCTCTGACACCGTTTTTCTCCTTCCCCCAGGTTACTGCGGCTCCGAAACCCCTGGGGCCGCTTCTCCTGGAACGGCAGCTGGTCCGACGAGTGGCCGCACTGGCCGGCACCCTTGCGTCATGACCTGATGCCCCACGGCAGCAGCGAGGGCGTCTTCTGGATGGAGTACAGCGATTTCATTAAGTACGATAGTGCCCAGGAGGCAGAGGCTTTGGGGTGGGAAGCCAGGAAGGGGACAGAAAATGGGACATGGCGGGGTCAAGATGGGGCAAGCAGGACCGGGCATCCCCAGGGGCGTAGGGGTGACCCGCCGGTGCCTGCTGCTGCCAGCCGCGTGAGCTGCGGCGTGCTGGAGCGTGGGGGCAGAGCAGTGTCCCCGCAGAGGATCCTGCCAAGGCTGAGCCCAGCTTCCCCGCAGGTATTTTGACTCCGTGGATATCTGCAAGCTCCATTCGGACTGGCACGAAGTGCGTGTGCAGGGCATGTTCCCCAACAAGGCCAACGGGCCGGTGACGGTGACATCGCTGACAGTGTTGGAGCGTGCCGCCCTGGAGTTTGCCCTCTTCCAGGAGGGCAGCAGGTGAGCTGGGCAGCGCACGGGCCGCAGGCAGTGGCCCGGACCCAGGAGAAATCCCAAACACATCACCCTCTCGCCCCGTGCCGCCCCGTGGGGTGTGGCAGAGCTCGGGGACGAGCCCCCAGTTCTCAGGGTCTGCTCATATTTTAGCTGAAACACAAGCCCTGAACGCGCGCTGGTTCCTGGGGCTGGGCACTTGGGGCAGCAGGAGGACTCTTCCTCTGGATCCACCGTCCTGCCCGTGGCCCCCACGTGCTCTGCGGGGCGGCGCGTGGGTGACGTGTGATTCTTCTCCCCCTCCCGGCGCAGGCGGTCGGACATGGTGGACAGCCACTTGCTGGATCTGTGCATCATGGTTTTCCGGGCCACCTTCACCAGCGGGAACAAGCTGAGCCTGGGCCGGCTGATGGCTCACAGCAAACGAGCCGTCAAGAAGTTCGTCAACTGCGACGTCATGCTGGAGCCGGGCGAGTACGCCGTCGTGTGCTGTGCCTTCAACCACTGGAGTGCCGCCCTGGCAGGCCCTGCCGCTGCCCAGGGTAAGGGGCTGGGCTGCCCGCCCCGTGGCGACGCTGGCAGAGACCTTGGGGGAGGCAGAGGTGACAAAGCCCTCGATCTTCACCGTGGGGACTTTGCTGGGGGTGGAGGTTGCCTGCACGTACAGCAACCCCGCAGCACCCTGCTCCTGGGGGTTGGTGACAGTCTCACTGATCCCCCCTTCCTCCGTGTGTCTCTGCAGCATCCAGTCCCACCAGCAGCCGACCGGCCACCGATTATTCCAGCTATATCCTGGCCATCTACAGCTCCCGCCTGGTGATGGTGGAGCAGGTGGAGGCGCAGCCCACCACGTTGGCGGACGCCATCATCCTGCTGACCGAGAACAAGGGCGAGCGCCACGAGGTGGGCACGGGGCAAGGGGCTGGAGGGGTCGATCCTGTCCGCGGGAGCCTGGGCCCTGCCTCTGCTGTGTCCTCGGTCTGGCAGGGGTCGGGCAGGGCTGTGCCGGCGCTGCCTGCCGCCTGGTTCCCTCCGCCCCTGGCTGGAAGTGGAAGATGCTGGTCTGGGGGCTGAGATTTGGAGGCAGGGGTGCCCAGAGGCTTCACACCCCTGACGCTGCCGTTTGCCGCAGGGCCGCGAGGGGATGACCTGCTACTACTTGACGCATGGCTGGGCAGGGCTCATTGTGGTGGTGGAGAACCGGCACCCCAAGTCCTACCTGCACGTCCAGTGCGACTGCACCGACAGCTTCAACGTGGTCTCCACGCGTGGCAGCCTCAAAACGCAGGACAGCGTCCCCCCCCTGCACAGGTCCGGGGTAGGCAGGGGTGGGTCGGCGAGGGCAGGCGGGCGCTGTTGGCCCCTTGGGGAGCTTGGGGCGAGGCAGAGCCTGGAGCTGGCAGGGAGGTACGGGGAGAGGGTGGGCACTGGGGTGGCAGGCAGGGGGTGGGATGGCCGGGCAGAGGCCCTGAGCCCCTCACTCTCTTTGCAGGCAGGTGTTGGTGATCCTCTCCCAGCTGGAGGGTAACGCCGGCTTCTCCATCACCCACCGCCTGGCTCACCGCAAAGCCACCCAGGCCTTCCTCAATGACTGGATGTCGACAAAGGGCACCCACAACCCGCTGCTCACGCCCGAGGTCGCTGGGCTCCACGGCCCCCGGCCCCTATGACGAAGCGCCTCCCCCTCCCCGCTCCGCTCCCCTGTTATTTTCACCGAGCCTCTGGCCTGGGGCCGTCCCCCGAGCTGTCAGCGCTGAGCCGCGGG